GGTTCCATTTGCTACTGATTAATTGCATAAATGTACATAAGAGATTACTTTCAAAACATTCGTTATCAGTGCCAATTTATCTCATTTTGCACTAGTTTGAAAATATATTCTTTATGGAATTAAATCAATAAAGCCCCGTAGATCTATAAAATAAAGTGAAATAATTATTTTAATTTACTAAATTTCCATTCTCTATAAATAGATGATAGTTACAAATATATAATGTAATCGCTCCATAATTTTCTAAGAAACATCAAACTATCCATATTAACGAAATCCGCAAATCCTTCATTTCATTGATCATCTTTAAATCCCGCTTGATGAATATCTTTCCATTAGCAAGTCTGCTTTCTACTTTACATCAGAATCCCACAGGACTATACAAAAATAAATATAAATTTTTGACAAGGCACCACCACCTCTGCGATCGATGTAGGAGGTAATCTAGTGGGAAGAAGTAGAGGAGGAGGAAGAGTCAGAAAATTAGAGCCGCGACGATCAGTCTCCCTCGCGTCGCGCGTCACTTCGATAGCATTCGCACCAGGTAATCTATAGCGCGAATAAGATCCAGCTACGAAGTTTTTCTAAACTCATCGTTTCATGTTGATCAACAATTTCTCATAGTTATCCAGAGATCTTCTAAATCGTGCTCGAGAACACTTGAAGAAGCGAGAGCACGCAAATTTCCCATGCAAAATCAAGTTTTGCAGAGAGTGACAAATTGATGAAAATTGTGCAAATCCAATTTCTATCTATGAAATATCGAGTGCAGCAAGATTCGCAGAATAAGTTACGCGAACGATAAAACTTCTTCGAGTATTTTCTAATAGTAGGTCAAGATTCAAACTAACTCTCTCGATTGCACGGCGATACAGCGAAACCGGAAGAGTACCATTTTTCCGGTGCGAACAGTTCTCCACTGTTCTCCAGTCTCTTCCTCGGTACAGTCAGGGCTATTATTGCAGTGAGGTCTAAATATAGATAAGAACGCGCGTGATCTCTTGACGTAAATCGCATTGCTCTTTTTATTCCAATTCAACGTGCCGCCGAGATCGGAGCGCTATCGAAGGTTTTCGCATCATGAAAAAACTCGTATTACGAATTCTTCTTGCATCTTGTGTTTTAGGTGAGTCTTCATTAACGATTTCTTAAAAATAATTGTACTACTGTAACTACTGCCGTTTTCTAATTAACTAATAAAATTTTCTTTAAAAAAAAAAAATTGTTCTTTTTATGAGATAAAGAAAATTAATAAACTAATATGAAAACAGCACAAATCGATCGAATTTTGTTATTACCACTCGATCGATGCCGTAAAAACTATTGGCAAATTTTGAGACCTTTGAATAAATTTAGAAGTCGACGTTTCTTTCGAAAGTGTTACTGACGAATTTTTAAGTATACAACGCCAACAAAAACATTTGTTAGACACATAATGCGAATATGATACAGCAATTACACGAATACGATACAGAAATATGATGAAATTGAACGCTATGTTTCAAAATTAATTTATTTATATTCTTAATAGTTTATATCCCTTTTATTTATGCGCGCTCTATTACATGTACATTAAAGTAATTAAATTGTCATCAAGTGAAAATAGCATAATACATACAAAAACGCAATTGTTAAAATTGTAAAAATTTGTGAAAGAACTGCGAATTACTAACAAAATAAATTTTTTTGCATCTTTTTTATAAACAAAAAATAAATCATGTTAAGTTATCAACGCGCGCGCGCGTATTTTTTTTTATTATACTATATAAGAACTATATAGGAATAAAACAGAATTCCTTAATTCATTGCCAAAATAAATTTAATTTAATTTGTACTTTTAACTATCAATTAAAATCGTTCTTTAAAAAATTTTAAATCAATAAAATTAAATCATTAAAAGCTTTTCTCGATAAAATTTTCTTCTCATAGAATAATTTTGTTCATTAAAAAAATTTATATTGGACTTTTGCTTAGCTTTTTTTCATGTGCACGCGCGTGTATTCCTGAATTTATAATTAATTTGTACAGTAAACTATAAAATACAGTTAACTATAAGTACAGCAACCATAAAACATAAAAAGTAAATAAAAATTATAGCAATGGATCCAATATTTTACATCGTCCAAGAAATCTTCAATTGTATATGTAAATAAAAAATTATACTGAGTAAAATATTATCTAATGTAAAAAATCAATAATTTTTATAGATAAATACTCTTTATAAAAAAATAAAGCTGTATAAATTGATCCTATTGTGGCTTTTTCCACTCGTTACTTGGTACCTTTTAACCCTCGCGAGAGGAGATCATTTAATATACACTCGTCCTTCGTAATCCGCCACAGTTTACATAATTGCACACGTGGCAATCTACGATCGTAAACGACTACAAACTAATCTCCGGTGGGCTATCAATCAAAGTTATCTTCGTCAAAATTGATTTAATCTACATGAAACGAAGATGAGAGAGAGAAAAATGTTATTTAAAATGATTTTTAATGTAGAAAAAATTATCTTTTCAATTTAATACATACATTAGCATACATTAGCATTAGATTTTTATTAGATATTATTATAGAATATATAGGAATAATATCTGAAAAATATTAATAATTTTATTTGAGATAATATATTTATCTTTACATACTTCACGCAACAATCCATATAAATGGTCGCTGTTTTGCAATAAAAATTATAGATATCAATAAAAGCATAATGATATGTAATCTTGAACAGAAAAACGTATATTATATGATATTTAATAAATGAAAAAAAAATTGCAATTTTTTAAAACGTATCTAATGTAAGAGAAAATAATATTGTGAAGTTTTTGATACGCTGCAACTATTTTGTATGAAACAATATATACTTGCGGTCATTTCAATCATGACCGGAAGTTATTAACGATTTAAGTTCAATGCCATATTCTCTATGAATGTCATAATATGAGTGTCGTAAGACTCGGTTCGAAGCAGGCGTAATAATATTTTATGGTCATGTTATTTAACAATGCCGCATGTATGATTCTTTTTATTAGCATTTTTTTTTTTTTTTTATAATAATATCAATGATCCATTAATTATAATATGTAAGATTTTTTCTGGAAAAAAATCAATATTGAAAAAAATCAATATAAAAATAGCAAATATTAATGAGATTGTTTAACTAAAATTCTATGAATGAAAATCGAATTAGAGAATGTCAGTACAGGACAGTATAGACTTGTCTCGCGTATATATCTCTTGACGCTATTTATATTTATATATACCTCGTCATCTTTCTAGAAAAAACTTTTCTAACGAAATACAAATACGTCATCTTTTACGTCATTGTCGAAATTTGTGCTTTTAATAAAATGTGATACATCGATGAAATAAGATTTCTAATAAAAATTAAAAAGCAATAAATTTTTTTAAGAAATGATTCTTTTTTTCTACTATATTTACAATAAAAAACTTAGACAATAGTAAAAAATACTATGTTGAATACTCAATAACAGAAAAAAGACCTTTTTACACACACATAATATCTAGCATATTTGAAAAAAATCACGATCATACATTACCGATATATGTCGTGACGCAAACTTTATAGATATTCCCCTTATATGACGGTATTTTCTTAATTGCCCTATATCAAATTTAAATTGAAATATGAGATGTCATTTCTAATATAATATTCATAAATTTAGTAGCGATAATATGCGGGCCACATGTGCGAGTAAAATCGGCTACGCGAATTACTTTGCATAACGTAACACTACGCGTAGCATAACATAATAAACGCTGGAATTTGGCTGCGATCGTTGCGGTGAACGCACTTTAGAAGAGACTCAGGTTGGCCTATAAATAACGAAAGTTTGCGGTCGCACCAACGCTTGAAGTTTAGTCGAAAATTTTGCCGAGTCAGCCCGTAATCATACCATCCGTTACCCTCAATTTTTTCCCCATCTTTTATCTCGAATGAAAGAATTATTCGCATTTGTACATGCGTATCAACTAAACAGCCCATAAAGATCAGATAAAGATAATTAATTTTCCTCCGAGTAAAAATTTATCTGCGACGTAATTTTTGCATTAAGAGCACAAAACACATTAAGCTGTCAAGCCGACAAAGCTCGAGCTATCAATGAGTTCATTGCATTTGAAACTCGGTTAAAGTTACACAGTAACAGCTTTGTGTTTCGACGATAGACATGTGTTCTTAACTATATTACCAGATTGAGTCCGTGAGAGAGAGAGAAGAGAGAAAAATCATAATCATGTATTATTTAATTAAATTTAAGCTATGCTATGCGTCATTCTGTTTAAGATTTTTTTCTACAATTTTTAAATTTTTCTTCTTCCATTTTCGTTTACACGAGTACGATCATATGAAGTTTTATCTCAATTAGGAGGAAGTGCGAGCAATGCAATGCTTTGCAAGTTGGAGCGGAAGTTGGAACGGAAGTTGATCGATCATCGATACTTCCGAATACCGATTACGAGGTAATGATTCCGCCTCGTCGATTCAGCGGAAGCTGTTTATGCACGCGGATACTTCGAGCTCGTTGGCGTTCGCTTACTACGAGTAAGTTGCAAACTCGAGCCAACTATGCATAGTCGACATACCAAAGATTCCTTTACAAACGCGAACGATAAAGACCGATAAATTCAACGTTTCCCGGCACCCCTAAATTACGTTTGCAAAATCTGCACCACAGAGCCGTAATCCTTAATTTAAGTTACTTCCAGTTTTATACTTTTTATAAGACAAAAAGAAAATATATATGCGAAATCGTATTAATTAAATTTGTTATCTTCGATAAAGTGTTTTGTAACCATCGTACAATATTTTGATAGCATGCTCTGAAGATTAACTAGAATTGATATTCCCAAATAAAGATGTCACTATAATATTTGAATTATAAGCGATTAAAATTAAATGATATCGCGTAGTTTATGCACTCAAATATACTTACACATACACGCGATCTGTCATCTATTATATATCGATCTGTCGTTTGTTATGAATTCTCACAGATTTTTATTACATAGTATTGTGAAAATTAATAACAGATGACATATCGATCTGACAATTTAAAGAACTCTATCATTAACAATACTATTAGCCCATTTTAATTATTTATAACTCGAAAACTATTTTGGTCTCGACATTTTTGTATTATAATTTTTCAATATTATAGTTAATTTTCAGAATACGCTATTGAAATATTTTATGGTTGTCTTATTTTGTTGAAATATTCTATGCTTGTTGCACACCCTATATATAAAAAGATTTGCAAACTATTAAATATTCGCTTTACCATAGATTTTATTATTTCTGGGATTAACAGAAATATTTTTCAATTGGATTTTAAATTATTAATTAAATTCTTAATTCTTTATATATGTTAGAAAAATTTACGATAATATAAAAGACAAGCCAAAATTTTAAATAGAAACGATTATTAATAGATACCATGATACTTTGAGAATACATGTTACGTGCGACATCGAAAGTCAAAATGTGAACGCAGAGATACATTTAATACAGACGCCGAGTGTCATTTCATATTATTATAGTTTCCTTCTTTTTATTTATTTTCTATTTATAATTTAAAAAACATGATAATCTATATACACATAAATATATATAGTATCGTAACGACAAATTTAGTATTTGATATTCGAGATAAACCAACGTTTAAAAATATACTACGCGAATTTAAAATGATTATAATTTTTGTGTCTTTATAAAAATATTCTTCACCTGATATATATTTGTCGGTAAAATTCTTGATATTATAAATTCTTTGCTTTCTAAGGAAAGATGAACAGATTTCAAGATCATAAAGATTAAAAATATATTTATACACCATCCTATATACTTTTATAATTTATAAACTTAATTTATAAAATAAATATTCAGAATATAGGGGATATTTCTTACGGATTTTTTTGCAACTTACATATTTCATATATTTTGAAGAATAGAAACTGAATCTATGGAAATTTCAAAGAAATGAATAAAATGGCTTCTAAGCTAAATATTTACCCTTTCAACATTTAGATTTATAGTCGCGGAGTTTATTTGATGGACTTGCCCATTATTTCCTCACTCTCTATCAATGATATACTATATATATGTATTTACGATACTATATATGTCTATGATATATTTCGTATCTACATACCTCTGCATAATGAAGCAGTTACCCAATAGTCTTTCAGCATTCCTGATATTTTTCTTGGCACTGCCGATATTTTTCTCGACACTACCGATACTTTTTTCGGCACTCCCGTTTTCATTATACGGTGTGATTTACAGTATTTACGCATAATACAACAGACGTCCGATACATACTTCTCTCGATACTCTCGATACTTTTTTCGGCACTCCCGATATTACATTCTTAGTTGCGAGCGATGTTTATTCTCTGAAACAAAATATCGTAACTTTTTTACGTAACCTGAGATCGTAACTCGAATGTGATGGGACGAATAATTATAACTATTATACACTCATATCATGATAATAATTATGACAATAGCAATTACAGCATTAATTAGAGTTGATTCTATTCTTTGAATACTCACGATGCTCGATTTCATTTAAATTTGCGTCACATAACAAGTAACTCGACGCAACAAATGACCGCGAACAACAGACGACGTGAATGTGCGCGAATACTAAATGACGTAACTTTCGGTTCCATTACGATATTATGGTCCGATTCGAAAATTCCGAATTCGTACTACGCGGATTAAATATGGTTGTCATGTCGCAGTTCAGCCCCAATTTCTTATTAAACGCGACTTTGACACGTATATGTATATATATGGAATGAAACGTAACTGTTATATATAATAATAATTTTTCTAATTTTATTCCTTCGACACTTGACGATGTGCGATCGCCATTAAATCGCTATTAAATCTGCGTTACAAGCGTCGTGACGTCACGAATAATCGCGCGGGGTAAACTGCGTATATTCACTGCTTTGCTCCTTCCTTTATAAATTATAAATTTCTGTTCTTTCACACGCTTATATATTCTCGTTTCAATATCTTGATATTATAAATTACGTGAGTAACGCATCCCTGTATGATACGAATAAAAATATTGAAAAATTCGGACTATCTCTTCACGACACTCGAGATGATACTGACAATAAGCGTGAGATACGTAACTGTTATATATAATAATAATTTTTCTAATTTTATTCCTTCGACTTTTGACGATGTGCGATCGCCATTAAATCGCTATTAAATCTGCGTTACAAGCGTCGTGACGTCACGAATAATCGCGCGGGGTAAACTGCGTATATTCATTGCTTTGCTCCTTCCTTTATAAATTATAAATTTCTGTTCTTTCACACGCTTATATATTCTCGTTTCAATATCTTGATATTATAAATTACGTGAGTAACGCATCCCTGTATGATATACGAATAAGAATATTGAAAAATTCGGACTATCTCTTCACGACACTCGAGATGATACTGACAATAAGCGTGAGATACCGACATAATATATGATAACAATTGCTTTGCTCAATGTAATATTTATGTTATGTTGTTATATTTTTGAACGGAATAGCAACTGTATTCACGTTACGTGGTAATGTAAACAAAGCTCTGTCGGACTCATTGTTGACAAGCTCCGTTAATGTTGCGTTTAAAAAAGCGAATAAATCACATCCAGATTTATATAAATAGACTGTGTAGTCTCTCAACAGAAACACAGAAAGCACTAGAGCTTAGATAGACAATTTTACATAGACGTATAATGTGCAAAGAAAAATCAACCAATCATTTGTCTAGTATGAAAAAGGTAGCAATATGGCGTCCTATATATTAGATACCTGATTGGTCAATTTTTTTTGTGCGTATCTACTATCTTGCTATCTTCTCGCCTCCAATATTCATATGACTATATCTAGTCATAACAGCTATATTTTTGATTTGCGTAATACAAATTCGGGAATGGCGAAAGTGAAAAAGAAAAGTTGGTATAACTGGTCTTCACGTTTGTTTACGCGCGCGATTATTGTGACATCGGGACATTTGTAATGCAAATATATAATCGCGATCGAGCATTGTGAGTGTCGAGAGGAAACAGAATCAAGTTAATCGCTGTGTTGTGATGGCATAATTACGTTACGGTACGATATTATAATCACACATCCGGGATTTTAGGTTATCGAGACACACACTATGGGATGCAAATAACCGTGCAATATCGGTATAGTGTCGAGAAAAGTATTGTGTTAAATATATCAATATCAATAAAACTACTGAAAATTTAAGTCATCAAGAATATAGATATTCATCAGAGAAATGAGAATATTGGAAGCACCGAGAAAAGTATCGGGAAATCGTTGTATTATGCTTCCTATTATGGTGAGTTATACAATATAATAAGTACAATAAAAAATGATCTGATTTATTATTCATGTGCATTCTTACATAGATATATATAATACTTCAGCAATATTTTATTTTAGATTAATTCGTTATTCTTTAGATAGGAATATTTATTGCGTGTTCCGACTCAAAAAGAGAAATTCAACACTTTAGAGAGAGAGAGAGAGAGAGAGAGAAAGATCTTACCGGAATTCGACATATATATCTACAATCTATATATTCGGATATATAAATGTTCAATATACGGATTTTCTTCCCGATTTTTTTATATACATATATTTTATATATTACGAAATGTATTAGAAATCAAATTAGCTCGAATAAATTGTCATGTATATAAATAATATACTTAAAAATTAATATTTAAAATATAGATAATTATAATATATAAGTACAAATTTTTAGCACATGTGGTTTCTATGCAATATATTGAAATATATAAAATATCTATTATATATACATATACATACGTATATATATATATATATATATACGCGAGAGCAAAGAGAACGAAGAGGAGGTATGAAAGGTACTTTTACATACGGCGACACATACGGGACAGAATAAATACTGT